AGAAAAGGTGGCGGAACTCAAACCTGGCCACGCCCTCATCAAACCCTAGGACCGCCCCTTTAGAGAACAGGAATGCAAGTAAAATTTGGGAGGGGCTATTTCCGGTGTGGGAGGGGCTATTTCCGGTGCGGCCGGCCCGGAAAAAGGTGCCGGAACGCGGTTCCGCCGCGTTCCGGCTGAAAAAAAGCCCTGATTGTAACCCTCCCTTCAGAACACGAGAGCCAGGCGGTTTGCTTGGTTCAGGAGACATCTTTGGAGTTACAATTGTTTTTCCCTCAGAATAACTGATTTACCTGTGTCCTTCCGGCATCTTGCACTAGGTAGGTTGGCAATTCTAGGCTCAGGGCAAGTGCGTGCAGTTCCAGCAACTGGTCTGTGTTGACTCCCTGAAGCACAACTTTCTTTGCACTAAGAAGGGGCAAAGCATACTTCATGGTAAGACCTACACACACTGTCTGCTTGGCTATGAGTCTAACTGAAACAAATTATAAACACAATTCGACAAAAACTTATATATATATATAAATAAAATATAGAAAAAACGAACACCAGGATAAAAATAAAACAAACCTGTTTAATACAAACAAGTTTGTAAGTAAGTAAGTAAGTAAGTAAGTAAGTAAGTAAGTGAGAGCTACGGGCGAGACAACGGCGGCCGTAGGGGAAGATGACAGCCCTACAGGGCATTTGAAATGCAGATTGAGAGATCGCTCCAAAATGAGAGGGGGGGGAGAGATAGGGGGCAGAGACAGTTTGACAGCCGTCCCCCAGGCACTCGCACGCGCGCTAGAAAAGTAATGGAGGATTTGGGCATAACCACCGGGTCCACCAACAGGCTGCCAGATGTGAATCAACTTAGCACATTGCAGATTACGCGCTCGAGAAGCCGGGCGCAGAGACAGGTAGCTATATAGGCAAGCTTCCTAATCACCTAGCATTCCAACCCTGATGACGTCGGCAGTTCCCGGCTACTTTCGAACCATTGAGAAAATGAATGTTTGAACAAACATAATTTGTCCAAACAAAATAAAAATAGGACCACAAGCAAAAAAGATATAAAATAACTATACACAAACGGGTCCTAAGCGTAAAAATTACAATAATTCCTATATACGACTTCAGATATGGAAAACTGACCGGTTTGGTTGGGTAATAGAAGGTCACAAATGGATTTGAACATTTTATATAAACTGGGTTTTAAAGGTCAATTAATGACTTAGCGTGATGTATGAACCAACCACTCTAGTAAACGAACCCGAGAAGAAGGTCCCTGCACTCCATTTGGGATAACTCTGTGGGACAAGAGTTATTCTAATATCGGAGAAATAGTGGAATAGGATCATTGAAGAAAGGATGCCAAAAATGAAACGTGAATGACAAAAATTAAAAGAATGTTTTCATTATTTTAAATAATTAAATTGAACTGTTGAATTGTCCTGTGACGAGTTGCCCGTGGTGAGTTGGCCATGGAGAACTGTCCCACAGCAAACTGACTGTGGCAAGACGGCTGTGGTAAGTTGGTTATGGCGAGTTGTTCCATTCGGCCACCCCTAGATTAGGAGAGGCAAATCTCTGGATCTTAAACCTTTATATGGGGCTAAAACCATCTAGAAGCCCTTTCATCTCTTAAACCACCTTTCCTAAGTGTCAAGCTGATTTAAGGGCCTACTGAAAGGTTTACACAACTAATTTTGTCCTTAGTCCCAGTCCCAAGGCCACAGAAGCTAAAAGTGCCACCCTAAAAGTTCTTATAACCCATTGAATCAAATTTTATCAATAAACATAACTGACTTTAATTCACACAATGTTGTCTGCTGTAAATCATGGTTTACAAACTAAAATAGCTGGGCTTATACCACATACTAAGCCAAGGTCAATAGCATTACATTAGACTTATACACCGCTTCTTCACAGTGCTTTACAGCCCTCTCTGAACGGTTTACAAGTCAGCATATTGCCCCCCAACAATCTAGGTCCTCAATTTACCAACCTCGGAAGGAGGAAAGGCTGAGTCAATGTTGAGCCGGTGAGAATCGAACTGCTGGCAGTCGGCAGTCAGCAGAATTAGTCTGCAATACTGCATTCTAACCACTGTGCAACCAAGATGCATTGTTGTATCAGAATAAATAAAATAATAAATACAACCAGAAAGGTGACAGAGGATTCATCCCCTAACCAAGCTTCATTTATGAACAAAACTGAGACTGAATATAAAAGAATCCCTTTTGGATTTCTGGCCTAGACCTTGAAGCTAAAGAATCCCGTAAATCATGGTTTGTTTGCAGCCTAATTTGTATAATATAAAGGAATTGAGAGATGGCCTCGGGGAAAATATGGAATAAGCATTAATTGTAGAAAAGGTCATATGCTCCAGGAATTGAACCAAATAAAAAAAGCTCAAAATAACTCTTGTCTTGATTTTCTTTAGCATGAAATGAGATAGAAAATTTTGGACACACTTTCAAGATTCTTTATAGCCTAAAGCAATGTTTCCCAAACCTCAGCTACTTAAAGATGTGTGGACTTCAACTCCAAGAATTCCCCAGCCAGACATCCTATTATATTAAATTAACACAGACACGCTGTTTTATTGCCTTGGTTATCAGCTTTAGCACAATCACGTGTACTCATCCAGTTGGAAATTTAAGTTGCTTAATCCTAAACTGTGCTCATTCAGTTTAGTGGTTTACTGCAACACACTGAGCCATTAAGTGGTTTATTTGCTTTTGGTTTAGCTGCATCTTATGGGACGCCAGCTGTTGTAGTTTGTAAAACAAAAGCTTTCCATCCTGTGCAAACTGAATATAAACCAATGCAATATATATATATATATATATAATTAAGCAACTAGGTTTAACAGAATCCTGGAAAAGATAGCCAAGTCTCATTTCCTTACCCATGCTCATCCCATCGGTTGATCATGTCCCTCTGACTTGGCTTTTCATGCACCAGCTGGAACAAACCAATGGCTGCATGCCCCACCTGAGCAGCGATCTGTGGAGGAAAACACCCCAAATTAGGGAGAACAACTTTTTGTCTTGCTTCTGCTGAAATTATTCTGCTGCCCCTATTGAGCAGCAGTTAGACGGCAATATTGCAGGCAAACTCAGCCACAGTCTGGAGTTTGATCCTGACACGGCTCAAGGTTGACTCAGCCTTCCATCCTTCCGAGGTTGGTAAAATGAGGATCCAGATTGTTGGGGGCAATATACGCAAATAATGCTTCTACATTGTAAACTGTTGAGAGAGTGCTATAAAGCACTATGGGGCAGTATATAAGTCTAAGTGCTATTGCAATATCCCTAGCCCAGGGGTAGGCAACCTTGGCTCTTTTATGACTCGTGGACTTCAACTCCCAGAATTCCTGAGCCAGCGTGGCTCAGCTTGGAAACCTCTCCCTTTTCCCTCAGCATGGCTGGCTCAGGAATTCTGGGAGTTGAAGTCCACGAGTCATAAAAGGGCCAAGGTTGCCTACCCCTGCCCTAGGGAAGGACTCATTCATTACCTGCAAGATATATGTAGGAGTCTAGTTAGAAATCCTGACAAAATTCATCTTGTAAACATAGATCAACAATACAGGCGGTTCTGGGTTAAGATGATGTTCCATTCCCTAAGTGTGTCATCAACCTGAATTTGTATTTAAATTGGAACTCATACAGGTAGTCTTCATCCTACAGCCATTCATTTAGTAACTGAAGATACGGTGTCATTAAAAAAAAAGTGATTTATGATTGCTTTTCACACTTATGACTGTTGCAGCATCTCCATGGTCATGTGATCAAAATTCAGACGCTTGGCCACTGGCCTGTATTTATTATCGGTTGCAGTGTCTCCCAGGGTCACGTGACCACCTTTTGCAACCTTCTGACAAGCAGAAATCAATGGGCAAGCCAGATTCACTTAACAACCATGTTACTAACTTCACACTGCAGTGATTCACTTAACAACTGTGGCAAGAAAGGTCGTATGAGGGGGAAAAATTCACTTAACAACTATCTCGCTGAGCCATGGAAATTTTGGGGTCAATTGTGGCTGTAAATCGAGGACAACCTGTATTTACAAATGGACTGGGTTATTACTGAAAATGGTGGACAACATTGTCTTTTCTTGAACTGATGAACCACTGAAAGCCACGCATTGTTTTCAGAAACTGCTGAAACTAGCTTGTATGTTAAAAATATGTGACTTCGGCGGTTCCTGAAAGCACTGCCTGGCTTCGGTGCTAGAAGGACAATGCTGTCTGCCATTTTTAGTAATAAGCAGCCTGTTTGTAACTAAGGGTTGTTTTTAAGTTGGACAATCTTAATGTGGAGTTTAGGCAGACTTAGTACTGTGGATTGCCTGTACTCAGAGGACTTAAGTACCCATTACTCACACTTGTTACTGAGCCAGTTTTCACATTTGTCATATTAGAAGAAAACGGACTAAGCTTTTCAAAAGCTTTTCAAGTTGTAGAATGATTCTCTAGATTAAAGGTAGGCAACCTTGGCTCTTTTATGACTCGTGGACTTCAACTCCCAGAATTCCTGAGCTAGCCATGCTGAGGGAAAAGGGAGAGGTTTCCAAGCTGAGCCATGCTGGCTCAGGAATTCTGGGAGTTGAAGTCCACGAGTCATAAAAAGAGCCAAGGTTGCCTACCTCTGATCTAGAAGACTATTGGTTTCAGCCTTGGATCTGCCCCTAAGTAATGAAATCAGATAAAAAAATTAGGGTCAGTTTAAAAGATTAGGAGGCAATAATAACCCAAAGCGTTTACCTTTCCAGTTCCCATGGAGAGTTCCATGTTTACCACAAAGACCATCTTGTGGTGTCTGCTTGGGAGAAGATTGACATCGCTGCCCTGTGCCTCATCTTCATCCTGGAAAAGAGAGTTTGACAGTAATAAAGTTTTCTGTTTAATGAAGTATATATGAAATCATACAGGAGGGATATTAAAGTGTCAAACTATGACTGGGGACACCCAGGTTTAAATCTTTGGTCATCCATGAAGTTCATAGGATAATCCTTGGCCAATCACCAGCTCTATGTCTACCTCTATGTCTACTGGAGAAGAGCCTAATGCTGGGAAAGATTGAGGGCAATAGAAGAAGGGGACGACAGAGAATGAGGTGGCTGGATGGAGTCACTGAAGCAGTAGGCGTGAGCTTAAATGGACTCCAGAAGATGGTAGAGGATAGGAAGGCCTGGAGGAACGTTGTCCACGGGGTCGTGATGGGTCGGACATGACTTCGCAACTTAGAACAACAATGTCTACCTTATTCATAGATCAGTTAGATAATGTGCAAAGGAACACAAATAATGATGGGCACTACTTTGAGTTTCTTAAAAGAACAATAGGAAGTAGAGGTAGTCCTCAACTTACGACCACAACTGAGCCCAAAATTTCTGTTGCTAAGCAAGACGGTTGTTGAGTGAGTTTTGCCCCATTTTATGACCTTTCTTGCCACATTTGTTAAGTGAATTGTTGCAGTTAAGTTAGCAACACAGTTCTTAAGTGAATCTTGCTTCCCCACTGACCTTGTTTATCAGAAAGTTGCAAATCGTGATCACCTGACCCTGGGAAACTGCAGCCATCATAAATATGAGTCACTTGCCTGCAGCCATCATAAATATGAGTCACTTTGATCAAGTGACCATCAGGATGCTGCAATAGTCGTATGTGTGAAAAACAATCATAACTCACTTTTTTCAGTACCATTGTCATACCTTTGAGCAGTCATTAAATGAACTGTTGTAAGTCAAGGACTAACTGTATTCTGCCCTCCCCATCAGCAAAATAGATGCCACTACTTCAATGTTATTAATCTTATACACCACAGTAGAAAAATTCTTCTATTTATGAACTGGTTATATTCCAAGATGTTCTCCCCTTGTATTCCATTAACGGTTTATGATCACTCTTGTCCTTAATTCCAGACATTCACAGTCACTAAAGTACACACCATACACAGTCACTGCACATCTCCCAACTTCAGGGACCTTCTAGGTTGGAGTTGCTGACAGGTTTGTTCACACCAAAAAAATCTGCTTGAGACTTATATAATAAATTACACTATTCATAAATAGTATAATGTCTGTAATTTGTAAGGTTCAAGCAGTTAATGTGCATATCATATTTGCTGCAGTCTTGCAGTCTGTATCATTACAGTCCATCTATATAATTGTTCCAAATCATAACTATTTCCTGGGGACAGGGAGAAGTATTTCCTGCCACTTCAGGAAGAACAGATGATTCTCAAGGAATGTTTAATTCAGAAGTCCTTTTTAAAAAAAAGGCCTTAGTATTGCTGAATCCTGAATTGGTTTTGGAATAATTGCTCATAGATAGCTTTGCTTCTGTAGAAAACTAGGTGACATTCTGAAAAATTGAGAGGCCACAGATTTCCTGGTGGAAGCAAGACTGAATTTTGACATTTAAACTAAGTTTAAGTCTGTGTAATTGTGTTATGTAAATAAGCATGTACAATGATATAGTCCTTTAATCAGAATACGTGTGCAATTCAAGCCTTGATCTACATTTCAAATCATTTATTTCCTAAGATCTAAGAAACATGTTTTCATCCCTAGTGAACAGCATCATCCATATACTCTTCAATATAGGTGATTTATAATTCTATTAAGAAATTTAGGTAATTAAATTATAAGTATACTTAGTTTTAAAGTGTGGGACAGACTTGCAGATGCATGTTTCACATTTTATTTATTTGCTTCATGCTGCTCCAAGCAAATTAATTCTAAGTTGGATACAAGTTAAAGTGTTTTCTATTATGTTTTTTTTTCTTCAAACAAAGCTATTCAGAACACAGAGATGGTGGTAGCTTTTTTAAAATTAAGGTAAGGGTCACTTGTAATAACATCACTTTTATCACCCAGAAAATTTGATACTATCAAAGATATGTTCATCTTTCAGGTACCACTAGACCAGGGGTAGGCAACCTTGGCTCTTTTATGACTCGTGGACTTCAACTCCCAGAATTCCTGAGCCAGTTATGCTGGCTCAGGAATTCTGGGAGTTGAAGTCCACAAGTCATAAAAGAGCCAAGGTTGCCTACCCCTGCACTAGACTTTTGCTGCTTTGCTACTACAAATTAACACCATACAGTTCTGGAAATGCATCAATACATAAGCTATCCCTCTCCCCCATTCAATTAAGATTTGTAATTCAGCGTTTTTGATATCCCTACAAATATATGAATCCTTTTCAGATCTATTATCTCCTGAAGGAAAATATTTCTGCCTCCGGGGGCGTAAATAAAAGCAATTGACCATTATCCAAAACGCTGTCAAATTATTTGTAGGATAGGCTTGCTGATCGCGCTTCAAGCCCTCGCCTGATGGTGCATACATTAAAAAAAAAAAGGGAGCTAGGCCAGAAACTGATTTTTAACTGGGTCAGAAACGGAAATCCAGATTGTAAGCAGATACCTGGGAGTCGAGACCGCTGCTGAAGTAAAGCTGCGCCGCCGCTTCAGCAGAATGACCACCGGTGAGCGCCAGAGCCTGGAGGCAAGGAAAGAGGGGAAAAGATGGGAGATTGCAGGAAGAAATAAATCGGACGGAATGGATCCCAACCCACGCCTGGTTCCGATCCACTGATAAAGACGACCCACCCTCCGGGCTGCAGCCTCCGGAATCCCCAGATCCAGCAGGAGAGCGAAGAGAGACTCATCGATGCTCGCGTCCGAATCGGGCGATTGCGACTCCATTCCTTACAGCTGCCGGCGCTCTGCCCACCCATTGGCCACTTCTCTCGCTTCTCGACCAATGACATGATAACGTGCTCCGTTCGTCATCGCTTTGGGACCAATGGCCCTGCCAGTTCCTTACATGACAACTATTGTCTGCGCCCGTAGCGGGGCGCGGTTCGCTTTTAATGGATCGGGTTTCACGTGGATTTCCAGGAGCAGGCTGGGGATTATGGGGGTTGTAGTCGAAGGGGCTGGTTTTTTTTTTTTCGTGCAGCTGCTGATAAAAACAGGATCACCAACATGATCGCCAAAGTCCGATAACGGATATGGCACAAGAAGAAGAAGTCCAACGTATCTGGAAAAATACGTGCTGATAGCCTATAAAGCAGGGGTCTTCAAACTTGGCCCTTTTATGACTTGTGGACTTCAACTCCCAGAATTCCTCAGCCAGCATGTCTGGCTGAGGAATTCTGGGAGTTGAAGTCCACAAGTCATAAAAGGGCCAAGTTTGAAGACCCCTGCTATAAAGGTAAAAGTAGCCTTAACCACTACATCCAGGTGGCTCTTACAATAATGTCTGTGTTATTAACATAGCTGTGTAAAGAAGCTGAATTTGCACAAGAGACTGCATCTGTTGTGTGAACTTAGCCATCCGCATTTTATTTAGCATGCTCTGCAAATCCATCCCTTGTGATCAGCCTGTGGTTTAACGTGTTGTGCAAACCCTGAAAAATGTTTCAACTGAGCAAATGATGATCCTTGAACTATGGATGGCCAGAGTGTAGACAGCCAGTTTCTTCACTCACCCTCCAGAGCTGCCATTCTGGGTAATATGAGTAATGATGATTGGAATCACCCAGCCTGTACTTTGTAGCAAGAGAGGGGGGAAAACCCCTCTGTAAGAGGGATGTTGGAGTCCTAGTGGACAATCACTTAAATATGAGCCAGCAGTGTGGTGCAACTGAAAGCCAACACAGTCTTAGGTTGCATTAACAGAGGGGTAGAATCAAAATCACATGAAGTGTTAATACCATTTTATAATGCCTTGATAAGACCACACTTGGAATACTGCATCTAGCCTTGGTTGCCACAATGTAAAAAAGATGTTGAAACTCTAGAAAGAGTGCAGAGAAGAGCAACAAAGATGATTAGGAGTCTAGAGACTAAAATATATAAAGAACAGTTGCAGGAATTGGGTGTTCTAGTGTAATGAAAAGAAGGACTAGAGGTAACATGATAGCAATGTTCCAATATCTCGGGTTGCCACAAAGAAGATGGGGTCAATCTCTTCAAAGCACCTGAAGGCAGGACAAGAAGCAATGGATGGAAACAAATCAAGGAGAGAAGCAACCTAGAACTAAGGAGAAATTTCCTGACAGAGCAATTAATTGCCTCTAGAAGTTGTGAATGCTCCAACACTGGAAGTTTTTAAGAAGACAGCCATTTGTCTGAAATATTATAGGGTTTAGACAATGACTTGTCTGAAAGGGTATAGACTAGAGTTTCCTACCTGAGCAGGGGGTTGGACTAGAAGACCTTAAAGGTCCCTTCCAACTCTGTTATTCTGTTAGCTTCTGCGTGTTGTTCATTTATTTCCTCTCCCACTTCAATCTGAGAAGCTGAATGAGCAGGCAGAAGGCAAGGAGATTTTTCATTTTCTTTAGACATTCATGCTAAATCCCAATTCTGCTGCACTGCCAAAGGGAGAGGATGAGCATACGATGAAGTACTGCAGAAGGAGAGAGCAGCTAAGCAGTTAGAAACAGAAGTAACCATCACTTATCAGTCCTTGCTGAGAAATAGGTTCTTTCTGGATGGCACAAAAGGAACAAACCGTTACTTAGGTACTAATCAGATTATTACTTGGCCCAGAGAGAGAATTCAAATGATCAGGGCAGAAGATGAAGTGGCCGTGTCTTTCATGACCACAGTAAATCTGTGGCTTACCACATTGCAGGGAGACGGGGTTGAGTGACCAGATGTGGCCAAATGTATACACTAGGAAAGGATCCCCAACCTTGGCCACTTTATAACTTGTGGACTTCAACTCCCAGAACTCCCAGAATTCTGGAAATTGAAGTCCACACGTTATAAAGTGACCAAGGTTGGGGACCCCTGCACTAGGAACAGCTATTGCCCTTTCACAATCACAACATTTTCTTCCCTCAAACATGGGACAATTATTGGTAGGGGTTTTTTTTCTTCCCATTGCTCACCCACTTTCTCTTAAAATATCATACCTGCTTTTGAATCCTGCTTTTTCTGGATGGGAATTGGACAAATGGTGGAATTTTACTCAAGGTGCATCCGAAGAAAGCAAGCAGGGAGCAAGGTCACTATTCCTCTTTACCTTGTTGAGTAATAAAAAAAATATTCAGATAATCATTCGTCCAGTAGGCTCCAGTGTCTTCTCCTACATTCCCCTCCCCATGTACAGTTCATTGCAACTGGAAATCCTGAGTTAGTTTTATAACTTGTGAAAATACTTGGGCAATCACCAGGTAAGCAGTAACCATGTTAGCATTGCTTAAAAGTCAAGGCAGTTTAGTTTCTATTGCCAAAGATGAGACCAGGGTGAGGAGAGTTACATCTTTCCAATAACTAACCAAGGCTATCTAATTTGACATCTGTTACATTTTGAAGAGCAGTCTCTAAAAATAAATCTCAGGCTGGTACGTAAATATTGTTACCTTCTAAGAGATGTTGCTCAGTTATGTCTCTGAAGCCTGAATTACACAGATGGCTTGTGCCATCAATTTTGAATCAGACATGCATCTACACTTTCCACTCCGGATAGAAAACAGAAACAATGTGTTGACTCATGAAAGGCTAAATTTGGGGGAAACGATTTAAATGCCAGCCTTTTTGAAATACAGTAGTCTTGCATAGAAGCCTGCCCAAGGTATCAATGTTTGAAAGAGAAATCTTTTTTTCAGCCAAAATTAGATGGGTAAATATAAACTAAATAGAATCTGCTGTTCCCAAGCTTTGAAACTTACTAAAGCCATGCTAACTCCCACTGTATAACCTTCTGCTAATTTAAGTACTCTTTGGATGTGCAAAAAGGCTTTGGCTATACAGGTAGTCCTTGACTTACAACCACAGAACCAGAATTTTGGGTCTAGAATTTCTGTTGCTAAGCAAGGCGGTTATTAAGTTGGTTGTGCCTGATTTTATGACCTTTTTTGCCACAATGGTTAAGTAAATCCCTGCAGTTCGTAGGTGAATTGTGTGGTTAAACAAATTCAGCTTCCTCCCCCACCCTTTCCCCCACCCCCGTTGAATTTGCTTGTTGAAAACTGGCTGGGAAGGTTGAGAATGGGGATCCTATGATCCCAGGATGCTGCAACTGTTGTAAATGCAAGCTGGTACCAAGTGCTCAAATTTTTAATTCGTGTCTGTAGTGAGAAGAGCAACAAAGATGATCAGGGGACTGGAGGCTAAAACATATAAAGAACAGTTGCTGGAACTGGGTATGTCTAGCTTAATGAAAAGAAGGACTAGGAATAACATGATAGCAGTCTTCCAATATCTCAGGGGCTGCCACAAAGAAGAGGGAGTCAAGCTATTCTCCAAAGCGCCTGAAGGCAGGACAAGAAGCAACGGATGGAAACTAATCAAGGAGAGAAGCAACCTAGAAATAAGGAGAAACTTCCTGACAGTTAGAACAATTAACCAGTGGAACAACCTGCCTCCAGAAGCGGTGAATGCTCCAACACTGGAAGTTTTTAAGAAGAGACTGGACAGCCATTTGTCCGAAATGGTATAGGGTTTCCTGCCTGAGCAGGGGGTTGGACTAGATGACCTCTAAGGTCCCTTCCAACTTTATTATTATGTTGCCAAGGTCTTTCAGTGCAAGGACCAGTCATAAATCCTTTTTTTTTCAGTGCAAGTATAACTTCAGATGGTTGCTAAATGAAAGGTTGTAAGTTGAGGGTTTACCTTTGAATATTTTGAGGAAGTCAGGTGTTTTGTTTGAAAGGCTGTGCTGCTAATGAGCTTTGAATTTATGTTTCTGACACTGCATTTTAGTGGCATTGTTTAAACCACCCTTTAATTGCCTGTGTTTAAGCCATAGTGTACATGCCCTCTGTGGACAATAGAATGGGGCATAAATCCCACTATAAGTACAGGTAGTCCTCAGCTTACAACCATTCGGTTAGTGATGGTACAAAGTTACAACGGCACTGAAAAAAGTGACCTGGGACCATTTTTCACACTTACAACCGTTGCAGTGTGCCCGTGGTCACGTGACCAAAATTCAGACGCTTGGCAACTGACTCATATTTATGACAGTCGTAATATCACGGGGTCATGTGATCCCATTTTGTGGCCTTCTGACAAAGTCAGTGAGGAAGCCAGATTCACTTAACAAGCGTGTTACTAACTTACCAGTTGCAGTGATTCGCTTAACGGATGTGGCAAGAAAAGTCGTAAAATGGGCCAAAACTCACTTAACAAATATCTCACTTAGCAACGGAAATTTTTGGCTCAGTGATAGTTGTGAGTCAAGGGCTACCTGAGTTATCAGCCATTTGTTTATGTTTGACTAAGCAAAACGACAAAAACTGTAAATATTCTGTGGCTTCTAGATCAATCCTAATAATTCTGGATGTTAAGTTCAAGCAAGTCTAAAAAAAAAGCGGTAATTTAACACGGTCTGGTTCATTTTTAACACTCCAGGTGTTTTTGTTTTGTGTTGTTTCCTTTTGCTTTGTTCATTCGCCTTTGAATGGGAAACATTGCCCAGACAGGGGAGTGTGGTTATCACATGGCCAGACAATTAACTTGCACACCTAGCTTCTGCTGAAAATAGGAAAAACTGGTTGCACCTGCCCTCGGTGCCCTGGGGTGAAGCCAGGCAAAAATGGGGGCTGAAAGTAGATTTACAATGGGTTCATTGTTGAAACTATGTCCTTCCCTACACAGCCTTACATAAAGGGACAAACAGGCCAAGATTATTCTGTAGTAATTCCATGAGAGACACATGGGTGGATAACACAAGATAAAATGGGGTTGGGTAATTTGAAGTTCAGCCTCTTAT